CATTGTCAAACTGTATAGGTACGGAATGTAGTCTCATTTATGACACGATAGATTAGTAAATATTATTGTAGAAGAAAGCCACATGATCTACAGTGAACATAACAAAAAAATGTTTCAACTATTGTAAGTCAGCAGTATTGTTTGTATGTGGAAGCTTTGAGATATCCAAGTGCCATATCTCTACAACTTAGCATTACAAGCCACCCTAATAGTTATATATATATATATATATATATATTAGACGAAAATACCCCTGGTTTGCGAAATAATTGTAAAGTCTATAAATACGACATGTTTGAATTTGTCTAGAAGAAGAAAACGTAACCTTTATTTTTCGCATCAAAATAACACTTATCTTTCGGAATGATTTGTGATTCATATCGGCAAGGTAAACACGTGTACTTTGCTATGAAATGCCTTTTTAACGAACCCTGTATATTGCTTAATAAACTAGTACTGGTGTTTTTGGATAAAAAATTAGAAATTCTCAAAAAACTACTTGACCAATATACTCCAATTTTGTTGTTATTAAGAAGTATGAATCCTACGGATTTGAAGAATTTCAAGTAGTTGCCTGAAATTATCGTCGCATTTTTTTTATACTCCTACTACCACGAATGCCTAAGGCCTAAACACCCATTGGGTACCGTGGGGCTATAGGGGGATACAGTGGAAAGGGGGAACGCCACACGGACTCTGGCGAGGGAACACGTCTGCATGCAACATGGACACATTCTGGCTCCGCCTACGAGATCCGCCGGGTGGTACCTCCATGTTCGACAGTCAGAGACCGTCTACCACCTACGGACAATCACAACATCCATAGCCAAGAGAAAAATTTCTCCTGGGACGGGACTCGAACCCGCACAGTGCACGGCGACTGATCAGGAGACCGAAGAGTCTACTACTGCGGCCACCGCTGCGCATTACCAACAAGTGCCGAAACCTTCATTTTGCCTCGTTTTTCGGCCATAACATGCTACTAGTCGGATCTTTGTTCGTGTGGTCTCATTTTGTAGGACTCATAAATAACTAAAAATCTTATATGAAAAGTTTTTTCGTTCCTGTCAACACTTTCGATTGAATCCCAAAATCCCTCATTCTTTGTTGTCGAATAAAAAGTTTTCCCACAAAAATTGGTGTTCCCATTTTATGTGTCCATGTTTTGAATACCCCCTTAAATAACTTGCACCAATAAAACCAGACTTTACAATTATTTAAGGGAAATTTGCTAATATAATTAGACTATAAAAAGCTATCCAATAACCACAGCGACATGTGACTCCAAAAATGTGATGAACGGCCTGTATCGTCATCTGTAACATCAACTAGACTGTGTCCATCTAGGACAATTTATCTGATACGATTAACAGAAAATTCCTACAATTAGTTGATGGTTCATTCGATACATTCCATTAACCTTAAATAAGGCAAATATTTACATAATATGATACTGGCAAAAGGAAAATTAAAACAATTTCAAATTTAATTCCAAATGAATTAAATTTTACATAGCTGTAATTAGTATACCGTATAGCTCTAAATTCAATTTTGAACACGATAATAACAATTAATAGATCATGGCGAGCAGGAATTTATAGTTACCAAACATGTTATGTGCATCACAACAAGCTCGTATTGTATTGAAGCCACGACAGGGAGTTGCTAGAGGGACCAACACAAAGTCAAATATCATCAACATACAAAGTTCGACATAATCTGTAGTAACTACAAATTTGAAATTGTGGTATGAATTAAGTTTTATTTAGCTAACATTATGTGAACATCGGTCCTATGCTTTGTGCCATGTCTGTTTCTCAGCGAGCCTGTCTGGATAACTGCTGTACTAGCACAGAAGCAGTTAGCAAGAGAAAAAATACCAAACCATTCCTCAACACCATCATCTAGTCTAATCAGTATTGGTTGACAAAGCAATCCGTTGAATCTTAGCTCTAGAGCTGTAATATCGGTTTGGAGGTTCATAAGTTTTGGTAACCCAGATATTAGACAATGTTAAGAAAAGAATGGAGGTAGAAAAGAAGGAATTAAGGAGAACGACAAAAAGGAAGAGACTAGCGATTTAATTTTTGTTCAAAATGTTAGTCGCGACCTTGCGAGATTGTGATATTACTCGACTATGTAGTAAAATGATTTGACCAACACAGCTTTGGTGTGGCACTCTGCTTGACTCTAGCAGATCTTCGTATATATCGGTTAGATCTCATCGACCATTTTTGGATAGAGTATAAAATTAGAGCACTGAAAAATTCAAAAATATGACAAATATTTTATTTGTCGTTTTCTAAGTTGCATTACTAAACTTTATTTTAACAAATCTTGTAGTACCAAATTTATTCTTCTTTGTTACATGTTCTGAATGCTATTTCCTGGAAGGTACTGAGCCATTGTAGCTAACGCTACTTTTTTATTTTAGACACCTTTTTCAATTGGTAACAGCTCAAACAGCTCGGTGGCAGCACTGTTTTGCAGTTTATATGTATTTTCATTTAATTGTCGAACATACGTATTCCTGTTAACAATAACAATGCGTTTGATTTTGCAGGCTTGAATAATGATGGTATCGTTGGTTCATGAGTCAAAATTAATTGTTCTGTTTCCGATTTTGGAATGTGTGATATGAGGGCGTTATATGCTATCTTTAGTTTGTGGATATATGTATACCTATGTATGTAGTTTGAAGTTATTCAAAAATCAACAATTATGGTTCAAGAAGCATGAGTTATTAAAAAGCTATTTCCTCAGATACAAAAATAACTTTGATACTAAGGTTTCACGTTACATCAGTCACTAATGTATTGCTGTTGCTGTCTTAAAAACATCAGTAGTTACATGGGAATGATTTTGGATAACATTGGGTCATTGGCGGTTATTCATTTAGGTGCAAGAATGGACTGATAAGAAAGTTCAAAAAGTGGATGCAAAGAGTACCAAAGTGAACCAAAATCACCCCTGCTTAAGTATATCTATTGGTTCTGGAGGGTATCAAGTTAATTAATATCCTGTCTGATATTCAAAATACTTTTTTTTAGCCTGTTGCATTATGAAGCTGCAGTTGACCTGATTATCAATGACGTGAGAATTATTTATTGCAAACATTGATATCTTAAGGATCGTCACTCAAAACCGTATGTTGTTTCCTGACTTTTATTTTTTAATGTAAATGGTAGAGTTCTTAGTCACCATACCTGTCGCTGTTGGTACGGAAATGAAGTTCCTGAGGCGATTTGGTAACCGTTGTCATACAGTGTATATGAGTAAAAACTTTACGAAATTTACAAAATAAACCTTCAGTAGTTGTTTACTCCACATTCCATCTCAAGTATTAATATATGTATATAAATGATGAAGAAGGAGTTCCGAGGATAGGATCTTTCACACAAGTTTCGCTCCTCAACCCCCTACACATTTGTTTATCCTTCTTGAATGTCTTAAGGGATGTAAACCTCAGATGCAGTACTACCAGAAACTTTCATGATATAAAGTTCTCCATTTACTTCATTATTCCAGTCTGTTACACCCAACGATCTCAGACTAGGTAGAAGGAGCCAGTCAAGGATTTGTTTGTCTCCTTATACTCGTAGTGTGTAACGAGGATCAGAGTGCACTTGACATAAGTCAGTTTTTTGACCGTTCTGTCCTTAAAGTTGTAATTTTAATGTCATTTTTTAAAAGTGCGAGTCTTTGCAGATAATTGTGTTGTGAGATAATTTCAAGGCGTGATACTTATAGCATAATTTGCAAAGAGCAGCACAAGCTTCCAGTAAGTTTTATTATTTTCTTGATATAACGCTGCCACTTTGGTAGACACTGGTAGACAAATGAGTGAAAAGTATGCACCAAAACTACGCATTTTTGGCGACTAGCCTTGTAATGTAAGCATATACGTTTGCATCCTTCTAATCTATTCAAATTCGTTGGTTACACACAAAAGTGATGTTGCGACTGGGTTTGCATGTTGGCAGATGGCGTTCTACTCTAAGGATCAACCAAGCTGTCACTCCAGCTCATTTTTGGTAATCGATGATTGAACCGAGTGTGCAGTTTGACGAGTCAATCTGAATAGAGATATGCAAAAAGGTGCATTGAGAAGTTTCATAGGCACGTCGTATGCAAGTTCGATGTTCCAAAAGCCTAAATCCATAACTTCATCGTTATTATGAGAGCTCAAAGCGTGCTCGGTGTCTCTTATTTGACAAGGTATACTCGTAGAAGTATTAGTAAAACCCTAATTAGACAGCTCCATGGACCTCCAACCCTTTAGACAGAGCTTACCAGATTCTTTCTATTCAACTTTAGTGTCTGGGTATCAAATATAATTTTAATGTCATTTTTTAAAAGTGCCAGTCTTTGCAGATAATTGTGTTGTGAGATAATTTTAAGACGTGATACTTACAGCATAATTTGCAAAGAGCAGCACAAGATTCCAGTAAGTTTTATTATTATCTTGATATAATGCTGCCACTTTGGTAGGCACTGGTAGACAAATGAGTGAAAAGTATGCACCAAAACTACGCATTTTTGTCGACAAACCTTGTAATGTAAGCATATACGTTTGAATCCTTCTAATCTATTCAAATTCGTTGGTTACACACAAAAGTGATGTTGCGACTGCGTTTACATGTTGGCAGATGGCGTACTACTCTAAGGATCAACCAAGCTGTCACCCGAGTTCGTTTTTGGTAATCGATGATTGAACCGAGTGTGCAGTTTGACGAGTCAATCTGAATAGAGACATGCAAAAAGGTGCATTGAGAAGTTTCATAGGCACGTCGTATGCAAGTTCGATGTTCCAAAAGCCTAAATCCATAACTTCATCGTTATTATGAGAGCTCAAAGCGGTGTCTCTCATTTGACAAGGTATAGTCGTAGAAGTATTAGTAAAACACTAATTAGACAGCTCCATGGACCTCCAACCCTTTAGACAGAGCTTACCAGATTCTTTCTATTCTACTTTAGTGTCTGAGTATCAAATATAATCATCAGGTACTCACCAAATGTGATTCTCTTGTCGTAAACGTTATAGGATCATGGGTTTCTCCTGTTGGACATTTGTAATCAATTCTCCCTGCTACTTGGATGAGGTGACTGCCAGATTTTCCTAATTCTAATAGATTCAGTCGAAGGGTGTCTGCTACAAACTCCACCTGGAATATAACAGAAAATGCTTATGCGTGGCACCCATTTACCTTGATTAAGGCAATGTCTTTTCTAGTAAAGAACGTTGGAGAATGTAGTCAAACACAAAGCCATGGATCAGGGCACCGGTTTCCTGACACGCCCAGATTGAAAACGATTATGCAAATTTTATTACCAACTATATTATTAAATATGTGTGTGATAAACACATTCCTTTTGTTGCCTTTTCCTTTCGATATTGTTTTGACCGCTCATTGAAACCAGCGATGTTGGAGAAAATAAGTTGGCTGACATTTCCGATAGTCATTCCTAAAGTACAAAGTTAGAAAAGGTGGCCGAAACATCAGTAAGCGAGCTTTGAAAATGCATCATCAAGTCATCCACAACATAAGTTTCAGAAGTGACACTGCGTTTTGGCCTTAATAAGCGATGCGTAGGCAATGACTTGTATTTTCATCACAACGTTTTGTTTTCAAGGACCTATTCTATACAGGGTGTTCGAAAAATAGACGGAAACATTTAAGACGCTGATTCCTTGTTAAAAAATATGAAAAAATTTTTCTATAAAGATGGGTACTGAAATGCAGGGCTTTCAATGTAGATTTTAATATTTTTTTATCGATATGCTAAAAAAATATTTACTTGATTCTGTTAAAATTTGGCAATATTATTTGCGGTATTAAGAGGCTAATTTAGCCCTAAATAGATTAAAATTTTTAGGTCCAGTGGCGTCCCGTGAGCCCCTTAGCGAATATTATTGACAAAATGTACGCCGCTGCGTATTTTGTAACTTAAATATTTGTTGTTTGATTAATCATCTAATAATATAACTTATTTGCCTTTAGCATTTTCTCCGTCCAACTTCGTTTCCGAGAGAAAAAAATAAAAACCGCTTTATTGCATGTCACTGAACAAAATTGGTTTATTTATTTTTGCTAAATTAGTGCCTTGGTAAACAGAAAACCAAAAAAATGTCTACATTCTTTTGCCAATAATTTCCGGTAAGTTGCTCACCGAGACGCCACTGCACCTAATAATTTTAATCTATTATAAACTTAATACAAGAAATAATATTGCTGTTTTGTTTTGGTTCGCGTACGTTGTCGTGTTTATTTACGTTCTCGGATCAGGAGTTCGCCGACATGTTGTTAGTTTACGGTGAAGCTCGTCAGAATTCAAATCTTGCAGCTCAAATTTATCGCGACAGATTTCGCCAACGGGTACACCCAGACAGAAGGACATTTGTGCAAGTGTACCAAAGACTACAAATTTTAAATATGGTGGAAATCAATGCAGATATCAGCACTCGGGAATTAGGCCGCCGCGTAGGACTATCGCATACCATAGTCCATAGAATCCTACGGGAAAATTTGATTTATCCCTAATGTACAACGAGTGCAGGCCTTGTTACCAGAAGTCTATCCTCGCAGACTAACATTCTATCAGTGGTTTTTGCACAAAAATATTGAACATCCGGATTTTTTTAAAAACATTCTAGCGACGGACGAATGCACTTTTACGCGAGACGGGATATTAAATTTCCATAATACTCACACCTGGGCCCAAGAAAATCCTCATACCATTCGTGAAGGTCATTTTCAACAACGTTTTAAAATAAATATTTGGGCGGGTATTCTTGACGATCAGGTTATTGGCCCAGGAGAAGGATACCTTAGCCTTCTAGCCAATAACCTACCAGACCTCAGACAACATGCCATTACAAAGGAGACAGAATTTGTGGTTTCTTCATGACGGGGCAGCACCACACATTTTTAGAGGCGTCATTCAGTATTTGAATGAACATTATCCAAATCGCTGGATCGGTCGAAATGCTCCTGATCCTCGAAAATGGCCAGCAAGATCTCCTGACCTCAATCCGATGGATTTCTGGTATTGGGAAGAACTTAAAGGGATGGTTTATGGGGCTGGTCCAATAACAACTGAAGCAAAACTTCGCGAAAAATATTTTAATGCGGCTGAAATAATAAATGGACAACTTCGAGGACCTAGAGTGAGAAGACGACATTTTGAACACCTTCTTTAAATACAAAAAAGTGCAGTGTGGGTTTTAAAAAGAAAAACAATGTATGTATCAAAATTGTGTTCCCTATTTATAAGTGAATTTTTTAATGCGTTCAATAAACTTTCACACACCAGGTGAAGCGCTGAGACAGTTAGTGGTAAGTCCGTTTTTAATTGTTTTCATTTTTCGAGTACATTATCAAATAATGAAATAATATCTAAGATCCAAAAATAACAAACTCCATCTTTATTTTCACTGCGTTTCGTCGAAATTTGCGTTTGGCATAGCGGCGTTGTCAGATTTTATTTTACTTTGAAGTCGCTTTTCTCTAAAACAATGCCGTTTTGACCCCCATGTTATATGAAACTTTTTGCTTCTTTTAACCTCCTCTATCACCCATTTAAATAATGAATATCATAACGTTAACACCCTGTATTACCCTGTATCTTGAAAACTCTGCATTTTCGGACCCATGTTTATAGAAACTTTCTTTTTATATTTCTTAGCAAGGAATCACCCCCTATATACAAATCTCTTAAACTCAGGATATATTCTTGTAATGATTTTGATAGATCTAAGATAATGTGTACTATCGTTCAATATACCTTTGACAATTTCGTAAGGCAAAGTAGGTACAAAAGGAATAGGAATTACTCGTACGAATGGAGCATATTAAATCTTTCAAATTCCTGATTCAACTCAATATATTCAGCTACAAACTAACGGCTGATTTTTTAAGAGGTATAGGATTTGATTTTCAAAAAAACACAAAAAATTTGAAAACACTATTAAATCTTTATTAGAGTCGATAGAACGGTCGATATAATTTAATGTTTAAAGATTATTTCATGTAAATGTTGGCCGCGGCTCCGCTTTAGATGGCCCATGCGCAAGGTCCAATTTTGGCACACTCTCTCCAACATATCGGCCGGTATCTCACGAATAAATGCTTCAATATCGGCTTCCAGTGCGTCAATCGTTGCTGGTTTATCCCTGTAGACATTAGCCTTAACATGGCCCCACAAGAAATAGTCCAACGGCGTTAAATCACACGATCTAGGCGGCCCCAAACGTGAGATAAACTGTTCACCGAACTCGCCTCTCAATAGGGCCATTGTTTCGTGTGCGGTGTGGCATGTGGCACCGTCTTGTTGAAACCACATGTCAGCCAAGTCCAGCTCTTCCATTTTGGGCAAAAAAAGTTTGTCATCGCACGGTAGCGCTCGCCATTCACAGTTACGTTCCGGCCATTGTCGTCTTTGAAGAAGTACGGCCCGATGATGCCACCGGCCCATAATCCACACCAAACAGTGATTTTTTCGGGATGCATTGGTAGTTCTTGCAATGCTTCTGGCCGATCTTCACTCCAGATGCGGCAATTTTGCTTGTTAACGTACCCATTCAACCAGAAATGAGCTTCGTCGATGAACACAATTTTTCGATAAAAATGTGGATCTTCCTCCAACTTTGCCAGCGCCCATTCACCAAATTGGAAACGTTGTTTTACACCCAAATCCTGTCGCAAAATTTTCCATGTAGTGGAGTAACAGAAGCCCAATTGCTGCGAACGGCGGCGAATCGACATTTCACGGTCATCACTAACACTGGCGGATACAGCCGCAATATTTTCTTCAGTCCTCACTCTACGTCTGCGTGTTGATGGTTTAATGTCCAATAATGTAAACTGGGTTCGAAATTTAGTCACAAGCTTCCGAATAGCTCCCTCAGTAGGCCGACCGAATTGCCCATAAATTGGAAGCAGTGCTCGATGCACTCTCTTAACCGAGCATGAATTTTGATAGTAAAATTCAATAATTTGCAAGCGTTGTTCGTTCGTAAGTCGATTCATGGTTAAATTATAGACCAAACTGAACAAGTTTGACAATGACACAAGACACGATTCACGCGTCATCTGTCAAAAACAGTGTTGCCAAAAAGATACTAGCAAAAAAATCACCCATTACAAACGAATTACTTGGAACAGAAGAGCGACTGTGGCATTTATCGCTTCCCATTTCCCGAGAAACAACAACAGCAAGTCACTGAAACTTGGATACTCCGTACATAATATTTCCTAAGTTGGTCGATATCCGGCTTGTCTGAAGTTTAAATGGAAGTTGCATATTCGGCGCAATAACGTTTATCCAAATAGTAGGTGGTCTACGTCGCAGCAGTGCAAAGTTCTACCAAAGCAGCTGTATGCAATCAGTACATTTGCCGAGTCTATGTGCATTGCATCGGTTCATCCCACAGCAATGCACTGTCAGTTTAATTTTGAGTGAGCGGTGTGTGCGAGGTATCAATATTACGATGCAATGGTAATCTAATGTGAACGTTGCTAGGGCAACAAAACGTCGCATAATTTGCGCCCAAGATGCAATTAGGGCAGTTGCTAATTGAACCGTCGCTGATGTCTCGATTACACTCGATACTCAGTGCTCCAAAAGGATGAGAATAATGCAAAACTGTTTGTGGTGTGGGCACAGGAAGTGAAACCTGATGTCGTCGATGGGATTTGAATCCACAAACTCAACATTCCATGCGGGCGCGTCTTTGATTCACGCATTGCTGCCGTGGTCGCATATTTTTTTCCAGGCGGATCCTGTCGATTCTATCACCCCCACCAAAGATTTTTTGTTCCATATTTTGCTAAGATAATGTGTAGTTTGTTACTATTCCGACGATAAAATACAGTCATTTTAGTAGAGTTCTGGTGCGAGAAGGGAAGACGTGAAGAAAGAAGATGTTTCCTAAACAAGAACCTGGCGAATCAGAAAATGCCTCAAGAGTCAGAATCACAAAGAAAGATGTAGTCAGCATGATCTCAACATTACTAACGACTGTTATGATAGAATGCTAATTGATATCGAGGAAAACTGCATGACAAGGATCATGAAAATACTTCAGAAATTCGGGAACATGACCATTGAGGAAATTAGAGAATTGCCATTCAACACTACCGTCGGTATTGGAGAGTACTGTTCTTTCAACCACAAAACAAGCAAAAAAGAGAAACCTATCATGCAATGATGTTGGCTACATGACGTGTGAGCAGAGTGGCAGAACCTTCCGACAGGCCGATACGCTCTTGGTAGAGTGCCACTTAGACAAACAGATCGGGAAGATAGGCGCTGGAAACGCTCCTGTAGTTTGTTCGATGCCAATGAATCAGGGAACTAGGAACGATGTCGGAGTAATCATCCCTAAGTGCAACATAAGACAACCGCAGTTGATACTGAGAAGACCGAGAGGTGGCGAGGTGACCGTTGATGCTTGGTGCCTATGTGGGCGACAATTTGGTCAACCTAAACATCCCCCTGGATGATGGCAGAGTAATCAGTCTTTTGCCCGAGATGGGCACCATCAGGGACTCCATCACACGACAGTTTGAGCGCGAGATGTTGCAACAGCTACAGCGACTGCGTAGGAATTTGGATAAGATGTGTCTACAGTCTACATCCAGTATCGGAAATGGAAGGATCTCTGAAGAAGCGTGCCACTCGTGCTAGCGAAGCGTTAGAAAGAAATTCCAACCGACGACGGCCTTTAGACCCGAATCAAGACAGCAGTTTAAGATGTGTAAGCTTGGAAGTGGAATGAAATAGTAGTGTTGTACCAATGGATGTATTAAGGATGAATGGTTGGATGTCCAACGACAATTGTCTCCGATTTTAACTGTATTAACAACATTTTTTTCTAAACCAAGACAAAGGTTTAATCCTTCCGAAGATCAAGCTCTCTCAAGATCAGACGGTGTTTGTTATCAGATGTGTTGGTTAAGACTACAATTCTGCTATTGCTGACCGGCATGTCTGTCACTTACACCATTCTACTGTAGTCATGTTGTTTAGAATGTCCGCATATTTATGTTCAGGTACAGATACATCTTTAACAATATATGTGAAGGAGCTCAATATTTCAGTGCATTACAAAATGCAAGAGTATTACCCTGGAACGTGGACAATAAGTCAACTCTAAATTATGGAGAACAATAGACATTTGGGTTGTTTTATTTGATATTCAGGGTGGCGCAGAGGAAACGCATGTTTTCTGACCGAATGGTATTTCGCACAGAATAGGGATATGAACTCGCCGCACCGCCAGCAGAGAACACATGCGATGCAGTTTCAGCCATGGCACCGTGGATGACGGAGCATCGTGTGTTTGCCGTCGAGCAATTTTTTCGAAACGATGATTCTGTAGTGATCGTGCAACGTTTATTCCGTCGACAGTTCAATGTTGAACACCACGGGCCAATTCCAGATCGAAACACAATACTCCGATGGGTTGAAGCATTTCGAAGTACTGGATCCGTAATGAAGAGGAAGCCACCTGGCCTTCCCCGTACCGTGCGGACTCCAGGCAATATCGAAACAGTGAGAAGATAGTCCTTGATAGTCCCCAACGGTCCACTAGGCGCCAAGCTCCAACTCTGCGTATGTCCCGTCAGTCGTTACAACGCATTTTGCATGACGATTTACAATATCATCCGTACAAGATAATGATCGTGCAAGAGCTAACGGAAAGCGATTTTGCACAGCGTAGAGAATTTTGTGCGAGAATGCGGGCCATTTTTGCTGACGATCCTGACGTCGTCATAATGATGAGTGACGAAGCACACTTCCATTTAAACGGATATGTAAACAAGCAGAACTGTAGGTATTGGGCGGCCGAAAATCCACGAGAGCTACACCAACGACCCTTGCATAGTCAAAAATTAACTGTGTGGTGCGGAATCAGTAAATTAGGTATCGTTGGTCCTTACTTTGTTGAAGAGGAAGAAAGAGCAGTAACAGTTACTTCAGCACGTTATGTTCACATGTTACAAAATTTTCTGTTACCCGAACTTCAACGGCAACAAGTAAACATGGGAGAGCTGTGGTTCCAACAAGACTGTGCCACAGCTCACACAGCGAGAGCATCAATGGAATGGATTCGACAGATGTTTCCTGAACATGTGATTTCCCGTTTCGGCGATGTCCCTTGGCCCCCACGCTCCCCAGATTTGTCCGCATGCGACTTCTTTTTGTGGGGTTACCTTAAGCTACAAGCCTCGTACGTTACAGGAACTCAAAATTGCTATTCGTCAAGAAATTGCAAGAATACCACAAGAAATGATTTTACGTGTAATGCACAACTTTCAAGAGCGGTTGGAGATGTGCGAGCGCGAAGCAGGGCGACACTTGAGTGACGTTATTTACCATCATTAGTTTAAAAGTGCACTATCATTACTTTATTTAGCTGTAACTGAAACAAGGTTATCTTGAAAATAAAAAATGTTATGGTTAGGTGAAAATCGTGCGTTTCCTCTGCGCCACCCTGTATAATGAGATATCAAAAGCATACCTTTCTCATACACCCAACAAAATTATTGTGCACTCTTGCGCCAGGCAGCGCTCTCGTGTTGATGCTTCCTCCTACGTAGAGCTTGGAAGAAGACAACATTGTGAATTTCCCAGCTATGTGCGAATGATCTGCGTAGACACCATCTACCACAGCTGAAAGCTGAAAGAAAAGAAAAATATCAATCAACAAGAAGTTAGTGAAACAGTTTCTAGCACAAAAATATGTGTAAATTCTATTCTATCGTATAGACAGGATTTAGAACGTAACAGTAAGTCAAAAAAATGCTTCAAGTGATTTAACTCATTGACAGTATTGCATCAATATGTATGGGACAAGGAATTTTTAGGAGTCATAGAGGACACAAAGAGGTGATATTGTCATCTTTGAGTAGTTCGATAAACACGGTACTACTGTTCCTTACGTATAGAGGACAAAAATAATTCAGCCCTGTAGGACGTCGCTAGAAAGTCAATTCAGCCTGTGCTCTTTACGCCACTGCTGATAGCACGGAAACTTAGTGTTCCCATTGACTAAAGGGTCGTATTTGATCGGTGACTATGCCTTTTCTTTTACCAAGTAGCTGTTACAAGTTTGGTACACTAGGTATCAGTAGCCATCCTCTACTTTTGTATAAAGTACTGTGTTTGCTTTCTCTTATCTGTCTCAAAAATATGTGGCGGAAGGCAAACTTTTTCAACCAAAATATTGGAGGAGCGTTTAAATGCGTATTCGTAAAAACTACGCATCCTTTAGTAAGAAATTGATAATGATAATCATGATAATCGATCATAGCATGAGTTGATACAAATTTCATAAGGATTTATTATGAAATAGGTCTGCTATTATCAAAGAGATATATCATGTGCATCTTTTGTCAGCGATTCTTTGCTGAAAGTTTCGCTCTATATTAGGTTACCAAGTATCTATATCTCAATTTTTACTTCCCAGGCTTACTAGCAAGGAAGTAACGTAATCGAAAATGAGATATTACGTTTTTTTGGTATTATTTGACATGCTCATCATGGAAAACCATGTCACTCATTTCCGTCTATGTGTATGTTGGTCTTCGACATCGTTATTGATTATGCCCTTGCTAAAAGACGGTTCGCCACGTTACTAGATATCTAAATTGAACAACAAGCAGATCAAAATGTGCAGTTTCGTCTCTATACGATGCTGCTGCTGTGTAATCCTCGTTGTAACAACAACTAAAATAATAATAATTATAGTAATAATGCTTTATTCGCCCTGTAGATAACAATGGAATCAACGGATTATTTTAAGTCACAAACACATACATACAATTCAAAAATAAAAAAATCATGGATATAGGGGAATTAAAACGTCAATAAATACAAATAATACATAGAAAAAAATTAAGCAAGACTATCGCACACATTGAAAATTCTTCTATAGAGTAGAGACTCGCCTCAGTACTCGACAATGTGGCAGCATCTAAGGCACTTGTCTGTTTCTTGTATAGTATATTCCAGAATTTATGGAATTAATATTATATAAGTGTGTGTTGATGCAGACTAATTTGATTAATGCGTATACTGAAGGTAATGTTGGGATCTTTAAAGTTATAAACAAGTCCTTGTATTAGTGCGCCTTCCCATTTTCGCAATAATTCTAAAAGCTTTTTTTGTATTATAACATTTACATGCTCTATAAATTCGAACGCTATTATTTTAAAACTATCAACTTACATCTCTGTTTCCAAACTATATAACGAATTTGCTACGAGTCTAACGCGAGTTGTACATAATATACATTCAGAACACAGCTAAATTATGAAGCCAACACATTCACTAGGGAGGGGAAACCGCGCATAATCGCCATAATAAGCTTTTCCGGTAAAATTCGAGTTACAGCTCCTTTGCGATCCACATTTTGATATTACACGAGGCTCTCGCGACTTTTGTACGAAGTTTTTAATAGACTTATGTGCCTCTTTTAATCGGTTTAGCTTTGAGAGAGTCGCTCAGTGTGCTTATTTTGTACTGTCGCCTCTAGAGCTTACAGAGCAAAAAAATGTTGCTTCGGGTCTGATGATTTAGTACTAAATGCCTCGCAATTTCTGACTGGTGCATTTCGCACGGTAGAGCGAGGTTCATTAGTAGAATTAATGCTTTCATTTAGTTATTTCTTTTGTAGGTACAGCTATAGTAGAATTAATGCTTTCATTTAGTTATTTCTTTTGTAGGTACAGCTATATAATAGCCTTTAACTACTCTACTCTGCTCGAACTTCCGATGCCTTGATAAAAAGTGGCATGGAAAATGCCGTACGGTCATTTCAAACAACATCGCGTAAGTTGATTGCTTTTCCTGATAAAAATATAGTCATAAGAAGCTTAGTGTTGATAATTCATATAATATATAGGATAACAATTATGTAAAAATGACATTTTAGCCAAAATCTAAATTCTATCAAAAGCTGCACATTGCCACGTATTTGATGAGTCAAAAATTCTTTCTACGCTGCTTTCTGGAGAATCACGTCTTAAGATATAGCGTTAAAAAATAATTACGTACCTGTATGGTTTTATTCAAATATAGTGGGTCTTACATCCAGATAAAGTAAAAGGTAAGTCGATAAATTGCAACCATATGCGATATTTATGTATCCCAAACACCAAAGTGGTCTATGAAGTTACAGTTGTGTGTGAAAAGTTACTAAATGAGCTTTTCTAGGTACCTCCCAACGAAAAACTGTCCGGTGCAACAGAAACAGAACAGCAACTTGACAGAACTACACAAACACACATTAATAATAATAATAATAATAATAATAATAATTATCTTTATTGGATTAACCAAAAGGTGGAGTTCACATTCCATGCTCTCCCACTCAACCTTACAAAGATACTACAAAAAATGTACAAATAAAATAATGAAAATAGAAGTTGAATGTTTAAATCAATCAGTTAAAGAATAAAAATTGAATATATAAGTGATCACATTTCATACTTGCTGCTTTTTTAAAATAAAACATTTAATTGTCTTCTTAAATGGGAGTTCCCTCAGCCTCAGAAACTTCTGAGGGATGTTGTTATTATTCCTTATCAATTTGGTAGCTGAAACTCCTTTCATATATAGTGGTTCTATGGGTAGGAGGAGTGAGGGTTATGGGTTGTTTTACAATTTTACATGCTATTTTAGGTGGTCTAGTATTCCTATTGCTGTAGTAAAAGTTATAGGATTTCTGGACCACTACACGTTCTGGACCACATTAGGTCTAGTATTCCTATAGATGTTCTAAGACTTATAGGAATACTAGACCACTACAGGTTCTGGACGAAAATCGGTGGTCTAGTATTCCTATAGCTGTACTACTAAGGACTTTGGATCTAATATTGATACTGTTCGATATTTTTTTTATAAAGTTAGGTAGGTCTCTTTTGTGTAATAATTTCACTATATAAGGTAATTGCATTTTTTATATTAGTAAGGACCTGTTTTCGGAAACGCAATTTTGATTCGACCCAAGGTTATTTCCTTCTTCTAATTGGAATGTTATCAAATGATTGGGACTAAGTAAAAGAAGAGTGGACTTTTTCGGATTTGATAATAAAGAATGTTGTTTTCGTATACAATATGAAATATTATACAAGTCAATTTTTTGCTTTAAATTTATAGTATACGTGAGTATCGTCAGCGTACATTTCACAATGATGCATATAACGTTGTAAATATGAAGTGTAGATAGTAAACAATAATGGTCCAATTATAGATCCCTGAGGCACCCCGACGATACAATTTTGCTAGATAATAGTTTGCCAAAAAGTCTTACTTGTGGACTACGATTTTGAAGATATGAGTTCACCAGCGCCGCTGACTCAGTATTAGCACCACAAGATTTTAATATTTCTATTAAAATCGTGTGATCTATTGTATCGAATGCTTTGCTGAAAAGCAGCACTAGTGCCAGCATACCTCCATCATCAATAGCTCCTAAGATTTCATCAATAATATAACGGAGTGCTGTCGTGCAGCTGTGTCCGCTTATGAAGCCAGACTGTTCCTCTGGAAATAGATTATTTTCCTCAAAAAAGATCTTAGTTGAAATTCCATAATCTTCTCAATTACTGTTTTGAAATCTTTGATTGTGACGAATGAGATAAATTCATACATAAAGCATTTTAATCTGGTATCCCATGTACTTATCATCATATGTCAATGGTACAAATTACATACAGCTTTGGGAATGAAGTGAAAAATACGATTAGGAGATGATGAGAAGTTTTTTGTGGTACGTCTTCAACCACCTGAATAGAAAACAATTTTGAATTGAATTGGAGAGATGAGTACAAAAGGTTAAACATACAAAACTGGGTTCGGCAATACATCGTCAGATGCCACTCAGTGAAAAAGATGCCAGTAAAAGTATTCCACGGGGCTCCCCTATGGAGGTAAAGGACGCTATTGGAAATTTGTGTTGCCCTAAATAACTCTTTAACCAAACCAAATCATAAAAGTTCAGTAATCTGATGAATCCTCACATCGTGGCGTATATAGCTCATTTAGATGGCCAGGGATGGAATAACTCGAATTCTGCTAATTGTTTCACATTTTCTTTAATCACCGCAGGCGAACTCCAGAAAGTGCGACAGAAATCCAAAACTCGGTTGAGTTATCTGAAAATACATATCATGCGGTTTATTTTGAGTTCTAATTACTAATCTGTTTTCATGTTTTCATAATGGTGGAACCAGATTAATGGATGCGATACCAGTATTAGTAAAACTGAACTGACTGACTGAAATACTGTTTTTCTGAAAAATGGATAAGTTCGGAGAAATCACAAAAGACCACAATTTTTCTGCTAAAGCATTAGGATTCTCAGAAATATAATTTTAATCACTATCATTAATATTACATTGGAGTGGCCTTAGTCGACTACTATGCTGCCAAAGATTCATCGAGTTTTTTAAGACAACCGATTTTCAGTAGCCTCCTTCAGGGGCCTGTATTACTGTAGGGGATATCTTTTTGTTATATAGGAACATGTGGCATCATTTTTGTTCTATATGTGTTGTATATATGAACATGTCGCATCATTGTTGTTCTATATGCTCCAGAGAGAGAGAGAGAGAC